TGAGTCAACTCCTTGTTGTGTTCTGTTTATAGCACTGGATTGGCCAGCTCACCCATGGTTTCTGCTTCTTTAGTACCTTCAAGAATACTCATCTTTTCCTCTTTCTCTTTGGCCATTTCTGTTGAGATAGCCATGATGAAACATTGCACACCCAGCTATCCTGAAGCTCAAGCTTCATGCATGGAGGTTATGTGGTCCTTTACATGGCATCGAGGTTTAACTTCTAAGGTTATCTTGTATCTGTCTCTTTGCATAGTCCCATGATGGACATTTATCAAAGAAAATGGCACACAAATCAACAGTGGTGTCTCACGAGGAGATTGAACCCACTTCGTCCAGGTGTGCCAACCATAGCTTGTTTTTTGACCTGGCTCTTTGACAAGAGTTTAGCATCTTCTACAATCTCCTTTTATAAGGCAGCTTTATTGACTACCTTTAGATATTCAAAAAAACGGAAATTATTTCAGTCCCCAGTGCAGTGAGCTCCGGCCTTCTCAAGTCGTTTCAGGTCCCAAAAGGCCATTTCAGTTACCTAACTAGGAAATTATGGTGGTATTACAGGTTCTGTTTCAACATCAGTTTGAGACCTTAGCCTCATGTATCATCCTACCCTTAAAGTTTATTTTTTGTTGATAGTGGCCTGCAGACATCATCAGTTGGAGTTGTTTGCTCAACATGAGCACTATTTATTATTCTACCTACATCCTTCTATATCCAGACAGGTCCTTCCTACCTAAGACACTGGTAGCCAGGGAAGGGGATAAATTTTTCTCACTGATTCATCTGACTGCTATTTCTCACCTCTATGACCACTCAGATCCTGATCATTATGTCCAGTTAGGATCCTGAAGTGTTATGTGGCTTGCACTGACTCCTTTAGGGGAAATAGATGACTTTTTATTCATTGGGATCCTTCAGTTTTCCGGGATTTATCCCCAGTTACCTTGACAAAGTGGGTTTAAAAATTGAACCACATTGCTTATTCTGTGCTGTCTTTGAAGGTGAGGTGATTTATACAAGTCACATCTCATCAGATTCATCACATTTTTATGTCCTTAGCAATCCAATTGAATTGCTCACTGAAGGACATTGTGTGGGCTGGAATGTGGACCTCTTCCAGTACTTTTATCTCACATTATTGCATGATCTGGCAGTATCTTCCTTTGAGGGTTTTCGACTACCCTCTATAGCTATCTTGACCACATCAGCTAGATTATAAGAAGAGGTTTTTCATTGCTATGCTTTTTCTTCTTTACTTTCCAGCATCCCATACTTCTTTTGTACAGGATCCCACTCTGTGATGAGTGTTACCCAGGCAGGTGTGCTTTATCAAACCAATTCCGCACTAGCAGCTACTAACTCAATATCTTTTATTTAGGTTGCAATAGGCCCTGTAAGAATGAGGTTTTCCTGAAGACCACTTGGAGCAAACTGGGTGGTATTACTGTAATATGCCACTCATGGACCATCATGAGTAAAGCATAAGGGGATCCTGCCTATCTCTGCCAATCATTGGATTGATTAAATTAGGGTCAGTTTGCTTTTAATAATTTAGGGAACTTGGTTCACCTATTGCACTGTTTCTCAGGACTCCCTAATGCACATTACCTCCCAGATTCTACTAGTCGAATTAGGGAGTCCTTACCACATAGTTGGTGGACAGAGATTTTTCCTCAAGAGTGTTTGAGTGATAGTCCTCCATTCATCAAGAAGAGGGTGAAATTGGGTCCCTGGATGTTTTTTCCCCAGATGTCGGTAGGAGAGGCACAAGCTTACATGGAAGACTACTCGTAATACCGGTACAGATTTGATGCTCGTCTATCATGTTCTTACTCTGCTATCTTCTAAGCTTACTGCAAAAGTCATTATTTCTCCTTTGGAGATGATGGCTTCGTTTCACAAAGTTATTCCTCAGGGAGATGCATCACCTTGATTAACATCTTGATTTTCAGTGGCTCTTACTTCAAATCCATTATCACAACAGCATGATCTTTTCTTCCTCTTTCTTTCAACCTTCATATTTTATTTTCACAGTAGCCACTCTTAATAGTTTAGGTGATATATTAGGGGATCAACATTTGTTTTAGCTTTTAAGTAGCAGCTTACATTAAAGTGGTTGAACTTTGGGCTGTTTATTGTGCCCCTCTTGAGTTTCTGCCTCTTCTTCACCACCATTATGTGTTAGTTCACACAGGCAACTCTACTGTGGTAGCTTATGTCAAGAAAAAAGGGCAATACTTATACTCACAACCTTTGTTTTGCTATAGTTTCACTTTGCCTTCATTCTCAACATGTTTACCTTCAAACTTGTCACATTCCTGGTATGATAGACATTCTGGCAAACTCTTTTTCTCAATGATATTGTTTTGTTTTTTTTCCTACAGAGTGTAACCATTCAACTTTTGATCTTTCAGTAAATTACCAATATTCTGATTTCTTAGATGATTGATGTCTTTGTTACATTAACCAACCATATTCTTTCACTCTCCTAGTTCATATTCCAATTCTCTGGCAGTCGATGCCCGATGTCAATCTTGGAAGAACATCTTTCTTTATGAATACCCACCTGAACACCTTTTTTCTTGGGTCCTGGTCAAGATCAGTTATTTGAAGTGACAGGTTCTCCTAATTATTCCACTTTGGTTTGCTGAGCAACAGTTTTTCTGGTTATTTCAATTTTGTCATGGGGAATCAGTCTCATTGTTACTATAAAGTTATCTTTTTTGACTTCTCTGATTTCATGGCTAGGTGTTGTTCAGTCCTTTTTTTTTAAGAAGCCATATTCTTCTTCTGTACAATTCAAAGGTTAGTCCTTTCTTACAGGCCATCTTCTCCAACTGTTTATCAGTCTCATAGAGATGTCTTCTAAGTTAATTTATTAGTCATGCTATAGCTTTTTTCTCCATCTCTTTAACAAATTGATTCTTTCTTTATGTAGTTATTTCGTAATTGAAGCTTATTTGCTTCTTCTGTAACTGGTTAAAGTGCTGCCTTATTTGCCACTTTCAGATGCTACAGCAGCCACTAGTTACTTTTGTCACCATTATTCAAAGATATCTTTAAAGACCCCATATCACTAGGTATTGTCCTAAATGAGATCTGAGTTGACACTGTTTCTTGGTTTCTCCTTCTTTTACGCCTTTTAGAAAAGCATCTAAAATTGTGGAATCATTTCATTAAAAAAAAAGTATCCTAATGAGATTCCAAATTTGAATGGATTTATTCAGTCAGGACTCTCATGTGTTAATTATACTTTGTAATTCAATAGAGTAACATGAGCTCCACATTCACTAAGTTATTTACACAGAGAATGTTATTGAGAATGTCAGTTAGTCATCAGTACTTACCTGTAACCTCTTGTTTTTGCTATACTGTTGATTAAAGCTAAGCCTACTTTTTATACTAATGGTACTAGTACACTAGAGTTTTATTTACTTAACTAATGCACTAAAGAACACAGAATATTAACACTCGCAAAGTAAACAATATTCTATAATTATCATAATTTATCTGCCTTTCCAACTATGTGATAAGATCCTTTAAGAATTTAGCCAAGCTTGTCAATGTGAATCCTTGTCAAATGGAATTTTCAAACTAGAGGTAAAATAGACAATACTCTGTACAGAAAATAATATGGTATAAAATGTCAGAGAGAACTATTGGCAATTTGTGAAATAGAGAATGTGACAGGTGGACATGGCAAGTGGATTTGATTTTCTAGTTTAAACATATCAAATATTAACATAAGTTTTAAGTTCATAATTTTATATGGAAATACTTTAAAAACCTTCAATCTCCTCTAGCATAAGAATTGTGACATTTATTCTCAAGGTCTTCCCTCATCTCCGAGAAGTAAGGAATTTAATAACTTATTTGCTTATGATGCCCAACTATATTTTGATGCCAAATTTATTTGTATACAATGATAATAAGATAGCTTACTTAAATTTTGAATTTAATTCTTTTAAAAAACCCATAACATGTGCACTGTAACCTATCTGTAGTGAGAGGGTGAAACCTAGTGTTTTAAAAAAATTATTTTTTGACATACTTGTTTACCCAAAAATATAAACTTAATGACAAGTTCTTGTTATAAATTATTATTTTGATTCCTACTACACAAGTTAGTTAACTACTAATGAAAATTATTGTAAATTACTAGCTGCCTATATTTACAAATTATTAATAATAACTTCCAAGTGAAAGTAAAAAAAAAGTATAATTACCACACAATGTCTGCTGTATCCAGTGCCAATGAGACTTTTTGCTCATTACCAGTAGTCTTTAGTACAGTAGTGGCATAGACACTTTATATTAGCAAACTGCATGACAACAGATGTTACAGTAAAACTGGATTAAGTTGGTGGAATTGTAATTTTTCCATAATTTCATTTATGCCACAACACGGAATTAGGGTAAGGATTTTTGAACACTATTTATTTTAACCATTTATCATTAATCATTATTTTATTGTGATATAGATTTTTTTTTATTGTTGCTGGACACTATAACAGGCACAATGCTACCAGTAATTAGAGTACATATTCAATGAAATACATTTCAAAACATAACCTAGCAACAAGATCAACACTAACATGTACTCTAATAGTATATTGGTAGTACTGTACCTGTTAGAAGGCTTCAGCAATGGGCACTCAGTTGTGCATGTAATTCTTTTATGGATTAAATATTGTACATTTTTTTAATGCTATAAAATAATATTCCCATGTAATGAGTCTTAAGCTGTCTCATGCCACAATTATGATTTGGAGCTATGACTTAGAAAACTAATTTATTTATTATACATCCTAGTGAAACTTTGTTGGAGAACAAGGAAAGTCTAGCAAGTGTATTTAGATGTTTAGAAATTTGGATCAATTAAATGTGGGACATACGTAAATACTTTCTTGGAAAGTAGAACACTATTCACAAAGTTCTCTTGTTTGCTTGAATAAAAATACAAGTAACAGTTTTTAAAATTAAATTTTAAATTTTTTCAGGTTGTGTTGCACTTAACCATGTGCCAATCAATATATCATCACTGGGAAATAGTAGTAATATGAAAACTGAGCTTTTTCAGTCAGTGTCAAGTGTACCATCTTCTGAGGAATTCTTCAGGTGAATTAAATTTAATATTATGTCATAATGCTATAACTAGTTGAGAACTAAATATACATGATAATCCCATAATTTAATATATTCCTAACTTCGTTGTGAAAGAAGGAATGATTTTTAAAGACTTGTAAATTAATTTTTTCATTAGTTCATTATTATACGTAGTATGTATTAAATTATCAAAAAACAAGTGTTTTTGCAATTCCATTAAACTCTTATTACTGCCAAAAAATTGCATGTATATAGTAGATATAATTGACTTAAGTTTCTGTGGTTTATTGATTAGTTGATTTAGATACTGATGCTATTCAGCATTTTTCAATACCAGCATCATATTTTGTCATTCATGAATTTTTCATTGTCACTCTATATACAGTGATGAAAATATGAACTATCAAATATATATATATTACTGTTTACTGAATAGAGTATGTGGTAGATAACATATTTAAAGTTCAAAAACTTGACTTTATCATAATGTTTGAGCTATTCTTCATGCTTGTTTTTAAAGTATAGAGCTATTATATTTTTTGTTGATCACCTCTTGCATTATCTGCCAATTCTTCTTCAGATGAAAATGTTATATGATTTTTCATGTCATACTTACTCTGTCAGGGTAATTATTGTTCAATAACCTTCAGCCCCTTGTCTTTCCAATGTTTGAGCCAATTTTCCATGCGATGAAATTTGTGTCTTCTTATTTTTCTCTTGACAACTAGAGTGATAACTATCATTTGCATTCTGTTTTACCTTTATGTTTCAATGTTGTTGTTCTTTCAGCCTATGTGTATTCTTTTCAGCTGCTTAATTATCTCAGTGAATTTAATTGATATTTACAAGGAATTTGACGCATTGAATCTGGTGAGACTTCTGATTGTTTTGATGACTTTCCAAGATATTTATGGGGATCTGACAACAATGCATAAAAGAAAATGTTGGTAATGGAGATTAAGGAGGATATACATAATTATATATCTCACCATTGTTAGAAGAAATATAGAAATTAGATCATAGTTGTCAGTAAAGTTTTGACATTTTCCCTTTTTTTCTTGTTAACAGCTTAGTAACAGTGGTTAATTCCAAAATGATACCTCACCTCTTCACACAGAATAGCTTGATTCCTTTGTGCATCTGCCTAAGAGAGTTGCATCCACTAGCCTTGAATTACCTCCCACCTAAAAAAATGCATGTTGAATATGAACTGTGCTAGTGCAAGATGTCATCATCAGGCAGTGAAAGCACTCCACCAATAGGAGCTTGGCACAACCTCCTTGCACAGTAGCTCTTCCTAAGCATTTGTGCTTGAAACAATTTCATTCTTTCCCTTGGCATTATCTACAATGGACATTTTAGAATTGTAGATTTGTGATGATTTGCTACTAAGTTAAATTTTCTTCCAATTTACCTGATTTAGTTTTGTGATCAACATAATCTGTGTAGTTTTTAATTTCACTTAGAATAAAAAATTATGAAAACAATTTGGTGATTTACCTATCTCTACGAATTCTCAAGTGATGGTAAGTGTCTACTGTGGCTACTGAAGGCTCATTGTCTGTGGAGGATGCGACATCCATTGTTCAATGTGTTGTGTGTTCTTTCATGCACACTGGGTCTCCTCCGTCCATCCATTTGGCCAACGTTCCTTTTTCCCAATTTGGACATGACTGGAATGATGATTTTTACCAACTGTTTCCCCCAAGAGGGTTTGCTATAGATACAACTTCATCCTCACCTTTCTAATCTCTTCCTTGACATGGTTTTGGATGTATGCTCTTCTCTTCTCCTACTTGTATTAGAGTCCGTACAGATTCATTTCATGAACAATTGTGCACCCATATTTACATGCTTCATCATCTTTGTTTACTTGTTATTTTTTCTGGCTTACAGTCATTCTTCACTTCTGTTTATCTTTGTTTGTCTTTGGAATCTGTTTTACTTGCTTAGAGAGGGCATAGCCACTTAACTTTTATTTCCTTTTCTAGTACCCAATTTTTATGCTATCATCTTTTTTCTTACCATATTCTTGCGTTACCTCTTGTAACTTCCCACACTTTGTCTGTGGCACTTCATCACGCTCCAGAGGGGTTTTCTGGAGAGGTTTGTTCTCTTCTTTTCACCACATTGGCCTGTACTTCTTATACTCTTCTTCTTACTTGGTTCCTCTGCTATTGTGACAGAATGCTCTCCTAGATAATGTATGTCTCTCTCATGCTTATCTCAGTGATCTTTGTTGGGCTCCATTTCTTCACTTGTAGGTTTTCAAGGGTGTTCCTGGCTCACTTACGACTTGGGCCAAAAAGGCTTAGCACCAATCCTCATTGTCTACTTTTTTTTCTCCACCTCATCATTTTCTTTCTCTTCCTAGGCCTATTAAGTCCACTCCCCATTCCTGTTTTCTGGCCTTTTTTCTCCTTCATGGCCTCCCACTTTCAAACTTCAGGTCTGGCTCTGTTGAAGCTCGTCTGTCTTTCTTTGCCAGACTTTGGCCTCCATTTCATCCAACAGATGGGTTTTTCAGGTTCTCACCCATGGCCTATCTCTCAATTTCTCTTCTACCCCATTTCTTTTCCTCCTCCACTTGCTTCCCTTTATCTACAGCATCTTGAGGACACAGTCTAAGATCTCTTGACCAAGAACTCCATGGAGAGAGTATTTACCCCTACAGTGTTATTATTCTTGTCTCTTTACGATTCCAAAGAAGACTGGGGACTTGCATTTGGTTATTGACCTGTTGTCATCCCTCGGTTCCACATAGAGGTTTTTTTTACCACCTGGAATGTGGATAACTAAAAATCAACATTTTACACATTCCAATTACTCTGTTTCCAGATGTTTTCTTTTTTTTTGGTCCATTGGGATTGGGTCTTCCAGTTTTGTGTTCTTTCTTTTGGCATTATGTCTGCTCCTTATCTTCAACAGAGTCACGGGGGCATTCATCCACCATGTTCAGAGATTGAGACAGAGATTCCTTTATTCCATGAATGATTGGCTTCTCCTTCTCTCACACCTATAGTTTTCTGCAGAAAGATGTTCAGCTGGACTGGCATGTCAAGCCTTCCAAGTATCTTCTCATGCTCATTCAATATTTGGTACATCTGGGTGTGTTCTTCAACTCCCACCTCAGTTGGACTCAGCCTTCATCACCTAACCTACAAGCAAAGGAATGTCTTGTCACAGATATTTGTGCTGCTCATTTACACCCTATGCACAAGGCTGTTTTGCTTTTGAGGACTCTAGCTTCCCTTGAACCCCTCATTTCTTTAGACCATTCACACATGCACCTCCTTCAGTGGACATTGCAGGATCAGTGGAACCTTTCTCAGGATTCATTGTCCTCAGTTGTGTTCCTCCCTTCTCCTCGACTTATGTTGGTGGCTTGACCATGCCAATATCATGGTGGGTATCCTCCCTTTCCAGGTCTCCATCTCTTCCTGAATGCTTATCTGTTGGGCTGGGATGTGTCTTTGAACAATGACTTGACATCTGTTGCATGGGCTCTGGAGAAGCATTTATTCCTCATCATTGTACTCGAACTTCTCACTGTCCATTGAGCATATTACTATCTCCATCCTCTTCTCATGAATCAGTTGATAATGGTTCACTCTAACAGTTCCATGGTCATTTCTTACATCAACCATCAAGGGGCACCCATTCCAGAACTCTTTGCTTCAGCACACTGGACCTGCTGTTTTTAATTTATTCCCATCAGGTTTGTCTCATAGCTTGTCATGTGCCAAAGGCTCTAAACTTGATGGCAGATCACCTCTCTTGGCCAGACGGGATTCTATATATGGAATGGTTTCTCCACCCTTAGAATTTTCATCGGGTTTGATCTCAGTTATGCATACCTCGCATTGATACCTTTGTTACTCATCTCAACACGATACTTCCCCTCTTCTAGTTCCCAGTTCATCCTTCAGCTGTGGTTGTTTCACCTTTTTTGTATGCCTACCCTTCTCTTCTTTTCCCTCTTGTCATCTCTTTGATATGTGACGTTCCTTGTCGGGCCCTGTTAGTGGCACCTCTAGCTTGCTCAACCTTAGTTTCTTCTGCTTCGTCAATTGGCATCCAAGCCCCCTCTTCCTCTGACCCATTCCTGCTCTCTCTTGCTCCAATTACACACATCTCTCTTTTTAGCCAGGGGTGTGGTTCCTTTTTATTCACATGTGGGATTTGTCCAGTCCATTTCCTCTCTAACTACCAATCCTTTTTCTTATCCCATTCCAGTTGTCCTTCAACTCTGTCTGTCTGTCAACAGAAGTGGTGGATTTTTTACATTGATCTGTTGGTCACTTCCTTGATCATATATCATCCTACTGTGGCCCACCTTTTGACCATAAATTGTTGGTTTCCACCATTGCTAGTTGTTAAGTGACTTTTCAACTACATTTTGCATTTTATGTTACCACCAGGTTTTTTCTTCCCTTGTCCTCTTCCCATTATTCAGATCCCTTCTTCTTCACTGGCCCAACTGGGACCTTCATGTGTGTTTTACATGTTT